AATCTGGGAGAAGTAATCCAGGCTCTTTTCTCACAATAGATAAAGTTACAAATGAATTCAAGGCACAGGTATTTTCAAAATTAACACACATTATTTTCTTTGGAACTAATAATACAAAGTAAGCCATAATTACATTATCGACATGCTCTGCACAGGGGCTTTTATGTGCATTACTTGTAACAGCATTATCAGAAAATGATCACAAAATTATTCACATGCACAGATGTGCACACATATCAGCATAGACTGGAGCACTACAGTAGAAAAAAAGACATGTTCCTGTAAATACAAGTTCTTAGACAGTAATGTTATCAGGGCTATATACTTTGAGTAACATAAGTTTATGTGTAACATTGGTTATGGAAGACAGCTGACGCAAGGCCAGCATGCAGAGCACATGTGATTCACACATCTGGTTTGGGGCTGGTAGGCGGCTGCTTACCATTTTGTGGCAGTGCTCATAGCACTGACACAATCACGATAAACTGACAGTAAGATCCATTTTGATTAACACCACCTGAAATAATTCAACACCAAGGAAACTTGTGTGCTAGGCATACTGGGGGGGGGGTGTGTAATAATCACTGCTTGGCCCCCAACCAGATAGCAAATTTCTGCTCAAAAATCTCATCTTACCTTGTAGACGACTCCTCTGAGTATATATTGCTGATTTTTTTAACCAGGCACAATAAACCATTTAATTTGTACTTTCTTGTGTGCATGAGGCTACATTCAGATAAAAACATTCATTTTGTCTCACAGTGATCAAGTCTTGTGAGTTTCTTAATGCTCTTGAATTGGCTTTTGCCATTTTCAGTGGTAGGAAAACACCCACATATATTTGCCCAGTTGGGCAATTAGGAAAAATGAACCTTTGGCTTTTCTTGAATGTTGCTGCTAGAAGACTATGACCATATATGCACCTTTATCGCTCCAACTGAGTTCAACGAATTTGCAAACATAAAATATTTTCACCACCTGAGTTTCAGCATCTGGAATTGCAAACTTAGGAGCATCCAGAAGGTCTTGGTTTCAGCAAGCCCAGCCAAACGCACAAACCCCAAATGCACTGCATTTCCTCCTGCCATTTCTCCCTGCCGAGTTTCTATCTTGTCTCTCTGGAGCTGGACTAAGTTCACAGCTCTGCCTACCCACTGAGAGTGGCAGCTCCAGCACATCACCATGCCTCGGGCAGGAGGGAAGCCTGAAGTCACAGAGAGTGGGACTGCTTCTTGTTTTGTGCTTGTAACTCAAATAAAACAAAAGCAGGATAAACTGAGTAATAATCTAAGATAATGTGGTGAACTCAACTATTTTGAGGAAGAAGCTGGAACAGTCAGCAGTGTCCTTGCTTTCAAGCACAAGTGACCAAAGCTTTCTCTGAACCTCTGTCAAGGTGAGCACCTTCTCTTCCTATATCATCAGCCTCTCTCAAAAATTTGCAGTGTTAAAAATACCACTTAAAAAGCTTGAGAAAATTAGGATAAGGGTCCATATCAACATAATCTGCATTAAAGATATCTGTGCTTCAGAGAGTAGAAACAAAAGTAATCTTTGATGAGAACTGCGTTGGTGCCAATTAAAATAAAAAAATGTCAGTACAACTCTAGACCCTTGGTGCTAGAGTGGAAAGCACAGTGCCTAATCCTCAAAATGCATACCAGGCACAGAGTATAAAATGAATCATCTGAAGGTACAAATGAGAGAGATTCCACAAATTATGCCTTCTTAAGCAGTACCAGTATAAGGGAGCCTACAGGTAAAACTAAATGCGTTACCAGGCAATGTTACATGCTTGATGGCTGTAAAATGAGGGAATGGCATGGTGTATCTAAAAGCGGAAGACTATAGGCTGCACTATAATGCAGTACTGAAGTTACCTATTCAGAACCTTCTGGAAGCCAGGCTGCAAGGAAGCATCAGCTTTCTTTTCAATTAATATATTGCTAAGAACCGAAGGATGTAAACTCACGAAGCAGACATCAAAATGGAGAAGAAAAACATTTACTCTCGTTTCTTTTTAAAAGTGAAATACTTAGAAGGTAATAATCTGTTTAGTGGAGGGAAATATTAGACAACTCTCAGGATTTTTTTTAGGTGTGACTTTGGAGATACTTGAGCCCTCTTTCCATGTATGGTTAGACTGAAGTTACATCTTTGTGCAAGCGTTTACCTTGGAGCTGCCAAACCTATTACCATTTATGATGGAAATCTTTTGATTATACCAGACAACATTAATAATTTTCTCTCCTAGCTGAGACAAAAAAAACCACCCCAACTTGCTGCTCAAGCCCCTAAACTGCAAGCAGCTAGATATGCATAACAGTGAGAGTTTAAATCTTTGAATTCATGTATACCTAAGTGAAATGCATTGGAGAACAGGTGGCTCAGGAATGCGACTTCCAAATTAATGCATCCTTCTAGAAAAATGGTATGTTTTCATTAAACAAAGTTGAATTGTTCTTTTCTAGTACATCTAAAAATAATGTTCTAACAGAGCAGACCATAAGTGCCAATTATTTACAGAGTTAACAAGCAAAAAAAAAAATTCACTGCTTGTTTTAAGGAAATCATTGCATGAATAACTGCCATTTTAGCAATGCTCCACACATGTAACTGTTCAGCATTGAATACAGGTTCTCAAGAATTATAAGCAGAAGTCTTCTTCTACATCTACATTTCTGCATTTACTGGTTCATTAAACACTGTCATTTTCAAAATAATAGGTAACAGTACGTAAATTGTTAAGAAAAGACAACTAAACTATAAAATGAATCTTCAAAACCATAGAATGCAGTATCTTGTTATTTACAGAGTAGTGCAGTATTATAAACACAGATTAAAAGATACTATACATAAATAACATTGTACTACACCTAAAGAATAAAGAATGTCTAAAAACAGTTTAGCATGACAATCGATATTACAAGTCTGAAAACAAACAAGAAGGAAATCAAAGGAAAGGAGAATATTTTTAAAATTGCATCTCTAATGAAGTGCTCCTATCATTTTTTACATTTTCATTTACAATGATGGCACAAGTTATATACAGTGTTAGTATATAATATCAGTTACTGGGCAATTACCATTGCTATCAACGGACCTTATTCACAGGTACTGAAATTACCTTTTCAAAGTAACACTTGGCGAGCAGAAACACAAGAAACTTAGAAAAGGATTAATTTATCTGATTCATTTGTCTTCACATTACCAAGGGACTTTCTTTTTAGGGCAATGTGAATGTACATGCTCAGGGACTGACTTCCTAATTACATCACTGATACACAAGAGACTTGTATTTTATTAGTATTCTTAGCATATACAAAGCAGTGTTTGGTATTCAGCCAGAAACTGAAGGTTGTGTCCTTTCCTGAGGTTACAAGTTAATGCATCACAAAGTGCAGCTCCCAGTGCTCTTTAAAAGTCATGACTGTATATTAGTGAAAATGATGACTCCCAGTTTGGCATAGCTTCACTGAGGGTCAGAATTTCCATCTCATGAAGAAATACTCTGGGAAAACAGATGAAGAAAGTCCAGTGGAACAAATGATGTTCCAGAGATGGTGCTTGTTTTCACCCTCCTGAGCAAGCACGGAGACCAGAACCCCGAGGCCAGGGCTGTCTCTGCAGGGGCCTCGGAATTTTTTATTTTCTGCCCTGGCACTGACCAACTTCCCTACTGGCTGCTGTCCTCAGAGTTCCTTTACAAGGCAGTTCCTGGGGTTTTTGGTGATTAACAGGAAATTGGTACACAGACAGTCCTATTCATTTTCCAACTCTCAAGTGCTACTTCAGTTTTTATGAACTTGTGCCTCAGTTATACAACTGTGTACTGGAAATAAAAGAGACCTAGTACAGAAGTCTAGGGAGGACTTCAAAATAAAACATACACCAGGTCAAAATACAGGTGCCTCCTAGACTCCAAAATTAGCCAAAACATGTTGTGTGGGAATTACCTCATATGGCTACACAGACTGGTGCACAGATATTTTTCTGGTGACAGGAGGGACCTTTCCAGAACTTCTTCACCTGTGGCCAAGCAGCTTATACAGCAGTTTAACTGTGCTAGAGTAAGTGATTGTCTGAAGAAAGGCCAAGAAATACTTGGTGGGTGCCATCTCTGCAGATGAGATATCCAAAACAGCAATTTACAAGCTGTATGGTGCAACCCATGTCCCTACCTCTACTATCAGGTAATTTATAATGTGATTCAGAAAAGGGGAAGAATCGAGAGTTCATCATCCTTTATTCCTTGCATAGTTTAGAGATACACTGCAGTGAGCAAAGAGTGAACCCAGTAACTTTCAGACTTCAGCCATACTATTCAAAAAGTTAAGAACTGGGATTCAAAATCTGCTTCACAGATGGATGCCTACACTCCAGTGATCACTAGTTTTCCATGTCATGGAGCCTTGTACTTCTGATAAACATTTAGCAACACTATGAATAAGGTCCATAGCGTTAAGGTCCACAATCGTCACTGCAGTCTGTTGCAGTGGCTCACTAAACAACCAGTTTCTCCTTCAGAAAAAAGCATCCCTCAAAGATTCTAATATTTGTCCTATGCAGCTTGTTTTGTTTGTCTTTTTTAATTCCAAACCATGCATGATCTGACATAAAATCTACTTGGTTAAGCCAAGTAATCTGCTTGTAAGAATGCTGTGCATGTGAATTATAATTGTGTAAGCTTTTTAAAATTGTTGGTAATTATCCTAGATGACTCCTTGGTATTTACTTGCCTATGTATTTTTCCAATTAGCAGAACCTGAAACACCTTGCAGATATCACTTCTTAGGACAGAGGCACAAATGCTTGTGAAGGCACTTTCCCCACAAAGCTTCCAAGATTTTAATTACTAATCACACAGAGGGCAAACCTTCTGAGCACTAGTACAACATACTATTACTGCTCTCATTATCAGAGCCCACAGCAGATATAACCGAACTCTGGTTACTGGAGAGATTTGTAGACTTGTTTTGTAAGTTAAATTAACCCTTTTTCTAAAGGCACAGGATATAATTTTCGTATGACACTTAGGTAGGGAAAGGGCATTTTCCTGCTTCAGGAATCTTTAAAAAGCCTGTCTTGCAGCAGACCACTGGATTCTTTCATGCCATCTTCTTCTTTTTTCAAGAAAAAACTACAGTTTAAAGCCTTTTTCATTGTATCTATGAATCGTCACACAGCCGTGATATGATACTGGCCTGGGCATGGCTGCTACTCCTGTGATAATGCCCGTTGCAGGGTCATAACAAAGAATAGTGTCTGTGGCTTCACCATTTTCTCGTCTTCCACCAAGGATGTAGATTTTTCCATTACACACAGACATGCCACAATTCTCCTGTTTCAAAATACACAAAGTAACCCATGATTATTTAAAAGACAAGACCTCAATTCCTGCACGTCTACCCCAGTGCAGAAGGACAGCATTGTGACTACGTCTGTAAACAGACTGGCCTATACTATTCCCTCCTGAAAGGGCCAATGCAGAAAGCACCAGAATTGGGGAAAGCAGCAGCACAATCCTACAGAAAGACTATTTCAGGTCTAAGCCTTCACTACACAAAGCTCAGACAAGGGATACAATGGGATACAGCTGAACACTGTACTTACCATTTAAACATCTGAGACAAGGAAAGGAGGAGAGAACAAAGGTTTTCAGAAGAGGGACCACAGTAGGTACCATTAATGCAAAAAATGGGAACAAGGAGAAGCACCTTAGAGGAGTAACAGACAATGAAAAGGGATGTAAACAGGGGAGAGGAAAAAAGCCGTGACTAAGAAAAGAGTGCATGAGAAAGACAGCACTATGTCTTACTTCAAAACAAGAGAGATAGGATTTTATTTCTTCCTTAAAAGCAGGCATGGAAAAAAAAATTCAGTTAAATAGAGAACGCATATCAGAACAGAGGAATAGAGGGAAGGCCAGGAATAAGAACAAATTTCTGCTTAGGCAGATACTGTAGAGTATGTGACTGATGTTTTAAAAACATAGGGAAAATGAACTGATATACACACACTTCATGACCGAGGGGACACATTGTTAAATTCTGCTCAGTGCTCCTTAAGTGGAAGTGGTAACAGCTCTTGCTGCTTAAGTCAGATACTTTCTGTGCTATACAGTGGGGTTTTTTCACACTGTAAAAACAGTCATCGGTATTTCTGTTACATTGAAAAGTTTTAATCAGTTATAAGGAAACAACTATCTTCAGTCTAAATAAAAACATGCAGCAGAACTTGACAGAAATCAATTTCTATACAATTAAAACATCATCCATTATACCATTACACTGTTCCCCAACAGTAACTGCTCTCAAACAAAAAGACTGGACTGGCTAAGAGTGACACCCAGCTGAAAAGCAACTGGTTTAGAAACTACTTCTTCTGTGAGGTTTTGAATTATATAGATGAAGTAGTAAAGCAAGAATGGAATCAGAGATGCAATTTTAACAGGGTTAATCAAGTGTATACTCATTTCATGCCAAGATACTAATGTAAAGAAATACCTTTCAGATGTCTACAGGCCTTTTAGTTTTAATTACCTGTCTGCTGAATGTATTCTGTACATGCATCCAGTAGTCCTCAACTGGATCGTAGCAGTATATTGCTTTGGTAAGCCCACCAGCAACATAGATCAGATTGTTTAAAGACACAGCCGTAATACATCTTTTTGCGATAGGGATAGTTGCACGGAGCAACCAAGAATTAGTATCGGGATCGTAAGACTGAACCTGAAAACAAATACATGCGTTTCAGGTTAAAAGCCTAACTGAAATAATAACCTGGCACACCCACACAGGTTATACAAGGAGAGCCAAAGCAGCAATACCTGGTGGGCAATATCTCACCAAGAAAATGAAGTCAATATAAACATAGGTCCACATATCAATATGTCTATATATGCACTATAGTCAATGTTATTTTCCCAAAACTCAGGTTTAAAACTTCACAGAACTTGTAAAACCAATGACAGTATCCATGAGAAAGACCACAGTAACAGTATATTATTGAGTTAACATTTTCTACTCTGTATTTTTTGTATTATAGTAATTCCATACTCCATTCAGCAAAACAGCTAAAACAGATCTCTTGTATGATCTGTTTTTAAACCAGCAATACTGTTTACCATGCATAGAAGATGCAATCAAATACAATTAACTGACCTTGTCAGAACATGTGTTGTCATCAGGACCACCCCCGATCACAAACAGTTTGCCAACACAGCTGGTGACTGCTGGAGAGCTCACAGCTTCCTTAAGGGGAGCCACCTCTGTCCATCGATTGGAAAATGAGTCGTAACACTCTACACTGCTGAGGCGGTTTTGCCCATCATATCCTCCAACAACATATACCTATGCAAAGTGGTGAAAACTATCATCATTTCATTTTTAGAGTAGTTGTTACATTTAAATAGAAATTAAATTCATTTAAAGCTGCAAGAATCCTAATTTGCTAGGTTTGTGAAGTGATACTTTCCTCAAATTTTTAATTTATACATAGGAGGAGAAGAATATGGTCTAAAAACAGTCTGTAAAGACTCTCTGGAGAGTTCCATTCAGTCACACGAGGCATTCCTCACTACAAACACACGTCCAAATATTTGAATGGCATTTGTTAAAAAAGGCACTTCTCTGCGTTTCTTTTTACAGATTACATTCAGCAACAGCAGCAGCAAAAGTCCATGTGCATTTACCTTTACTCTTCTGTTTTACTTTTTCCCACTTGCTTACAAAAATATTTCTTTCTCTCAGTTTGTAAGTCTTCTTTACTTTCCTGTTGCTTCTCTCATATGTAAGTAGCAGAGCTCAGTATTACTTATGTCTACCTTTTTCCCCTCTATTTGCTCCAGCTGCAAGTCTCGTCTCCAAGAAGTTACTCACTCCAAGGGACACCACATGCACATCTTCCCTAACTTTCATTAATGGAATCCTCACAGGCAGTTGATCCCAACTACTGTTTTTATGTTAAGGCATATATGCCTTCAAAATACAGCAAAACCTCCCACTTCCCCACAGCATATATTTGATTAACTTCAATATAAAACATTAAATAAAAGAGCACAGAGCTGACATTCAGAGCAGTACAAGTTTCTGTTAATAACTGCATAAACTGTCAAAAGTTTTGACAGCACTTTTGAAGCATAGGCAAATCCAGATGCTTCTTTGCCTCCCCAAAAAATTGCTTCTTGGGGATAAGACACTTCAGTGACAAAAACGCACAAAAATATAACTTATGAGTAACATGATTTTCATGTCCATGGATAGTGTCTGACTGAAGAAGAGCCTAATTGTTTAAAGTATTATTTTATTTGAAAATATGTATTTTTAAAATTGTTTGATAGGAAAGTCGAAGTAATACTAAATATGGACAGAAGTTTTCTGCAGTGTTTTCTTATATACATCAAACATCCCCACTATAAAAAGGATTATAAATATACTTCTCTTACTTTACCAAGAAGAACAGCCATTTTGTGACGCCATCTGCCTTTATTTAAGGAGGCAACTCTGATCCAAATGTTAAGTTGAGAGTTATAAATCCAAACATCCCGGCTATTGATTCTTCCACCTTTAAAAATAAAAATATGCCAATATGAATAAATTCACTATTGAATGAGAAATGTTAGCTATTAACATGCCCCTCTACAGTGGGCAATGAAAACTTTACATCCTTTTTAGGTGAAATAAAGACCTATCTATATTTATACATTAGACAGAAAAAGTCCACTTCAGTGGATTTCAAACATGAAAACATACAGTAAGTTATTTTGTTTATGTGTGCCTTTCCTAGTAACATGCTGAGGTCACATTAGATTATTTCTTGAGATTGGAATGCATTTCAATGGCTTTTGCCCCATGCTCTTCAGATTCCCTTCAGTGTCACTATCTGGATGAGATGCTCAATTTCTTAACCGTTTATGTGCCTCACGGCATATCCCTAACACTCGCTATTCCCCTATTTGGTTCGTGCACACATCTTGTTTTACGTTTTTTTCAAATGACATGGGTACTACAAATCTGAGGAGACAGTTTCTTTGGTTAAACTAATACATGGGGCTTGGTGTCCAAACTGTCAACTGTACCCTATCATTCACTCTTGCTAAAAGGCTGAATGAGAAGTGGTTAAAAACCTATAGCTATTGCTCATTTCACTGTAAAAGGCTGGTATAAACAGATCCCCAACTCAGGCGCTAGAAGAAATTTGTTTCCATTTTACATTCCCACAATGAGAAGAAGCTTTACTGTTTTTCCTTTGCAGTCTAGGCAGCCATACGATAGAAACAAGTCACCAGAAATGTACCAGTGCTGCAGTGCTCCTAAGCAACTGGTGTTTTTAACCAGCACACAGCACGTTTTGTAGCAGAGAAAATGCTGCTAGGAAAAAACTGCTTGAGATTTTTTGCTTGTACTTTTTCCAACTGTTGCTGCAAACAGGCCACTACTGTATTTGAAAGCAGCATACTTAATGAGCATAAGCTAGTCTGTTTAAATACAATTGATAGCCTGGAATCAGCTGTAAAAAACCTGCCAATTAATACAAAACAAAAATCACAGAAAACACTTTTGTCTACAGTAAGATTGGTTTGGCACTGGTGTTTACCATTTACATCAGAAAGTGACTTTCAATTGAGCTTCTGGAAGTTCACAATACATAAAAAAAAAACCAAACACACACACAAACCAAACAAACCCCAAAACCAAGAAAACCAGGCCAAAGCAACAAAGAAAAGAAAAAAATTCTTAAATTTTTTAGGATTATTCACCTGAAACAAGAATATCATTCCGTAGAGCACACACTGCATACTCAGACTTGGTAAACTCTGGAAGCTTAGCCAGTGACTTCCACTCTCCTGTTACAGGATCGTAGCACTCAGTGTACGGCAAATTAAACCCTCCAACTCGTTCACAGCCTCCAACAACAACAATCACCTCAGAATAACCAGTTGATCTAAAAAAAGGGAACACAGAAAACAAAGATGTAGAAAATATTTATTAGTACATCGAGGCCAAACAACGTTGTCTTCAAAACTGTGTGAAAACTGGAAAATTTAGTATTTGGTATTAACTTCTATAGCAAAGAAAACAGAAGAGTCATTTAGCAAATAGAGGTTTTCCCTGTTTCCAGCTGTCTCATTACGTAGCAGGTTACCACACCAACAGGCGTTCTGTGTAAGTGGTCGAGTCTCACCGCATAACGTTCTATGTGAAAATCAAATCATTAAAAAATACAAAAAGCTCTTACTCTAGTAATATTTTTCCTTTGACTGTGTAGGTAGATATATCAGAAACGGAGTTCAAGCGAGGCCTGAGACAATGAGATGAGCAATCTGTTTCACACTGAAACCAGTCCCCATGTCCCCCCTGGAATTTTACAAAATTCATAGTACTTTATTTTGCTTAAATATTCAAAAAGTTTAAAATATTTCAAGTTACTTCTGAAAAAAAAGAAAAAAAAAAGCTGAAGGCATATAGTCACCAGCATAAGGGAAAAGAAAGAGACGTTAAAGCCAATGCACAGTTAAAAAAGGTGAAAAACAAGTGTAGCTACAGAAGGAAACATCAAGGAATGCTGAAATAAAAATTCAAACTTAAACTAAAAACTAGAACTCAGTGTGAAAAAATTAAGCATTAGACAGCCTGCAACGTCTGCAACACAAGTCTTTAAATTCTATTCCACATTCTCATTCTCCTTCTACTAACCTGATGCTTCTGCATTATATTCTATATTCAGAGCAATAACAAAACTTCTTACATGTTAATCCACATTTGAATGTAGAGAATCAACCAACCACCTTCAATGTGCAAATCAAACTATGACTTTTATTCCTTCTCTGAAATTTATAATTTCTTGTAAGCATTTGTCAAAATCCTTTCTTCTCAGGGCATTTTTAGATTAAAGGATTTTGCACTTGTATAGTTATTTCAAGGACTGCTGTCTATTGATCATGTAAAACTGAATACAAGATCAATTTTATTTTTAGTAAGCCTTTCTGTTCTGTTGCGATTTAACTTCAATCCTGGTATGAACAGGCATCTCATTCATACCATTGCTGTGTACTGCAGTCCTCTCTCTAAAAAAAACAAAACAAAACAAACAAACAATTGCCTTATGACTGCATTTGAGATAAAAGCTGCATGATCTGTCCCCAAATTTCTTAACATGTGAACTTATGCATATACTAGCTTATAAATCCTGATGACATTTTCCCTATTTTGAAAAACCAGGAATAAAACTAGTTTAGCCCTTCTATCTTCTTGTCACCACACACCACAATTTAAATATACGATGTATCTTTCTACTCAGAATATTCTGAACAGGCAAAAGCAATGCTAAATGATAATGTACTGTAAGATTATATAATGAAGATATGCATCTGAGGAAGCATATTTACACACCTGAACTAGTCAGAATCATAGAATCGTTTAGGTTGGAAAAGACCTTTCAGATCATCCAGTCCAACCATTAACCTAACACTACCAAGTCCACCACTAAACCAATTAAGGGTCAAGTAGTAAATTCATGTTTCCTGGCTTGGTGGCTGGATTATTTTTTAATGAAAGTAAAAACTAGGAATCATTAAGGTTGGAAAGGACCTCTAAGATCATCAGTCCAACCATCAACCCAACACCACCACGCCCACTAAACCATGTCCCAAAGTGCCACGTCTACCTGTTTTTTTGAACACTGCCAGAGAAGAAACACTCTCTTCAACTGCTCAGCTTTGAGGTGATGCTCGTTCCTGGTGTCTATGTATTTACTGTTACTGTTTTTTTTCTTTTTTGAGGAACAACTCTGAAAAGAATCTCTCTCAAAGGATAAGAGAGGGGAAGTTCCTGTGCGAGCAAAGCATTACCCAGAAAGAGAATTTCCTTATAAGCAAGCAACTCATCTCATAATTTGCCTTAGAAGCAAGCCCAAATATATCAACTAACCATATGCACGGAAGAGGTTTGTCTGTTGATTACCTTCTAGATTAGAATCAAGTTCCCCACTTACTTACCGAAAAGCTTAATGTACCAGATTATCAATCTTTATTTTAAAATTAAATGAACCAAAATCTTTGATTGGAGAGAGCTCTTTATGAATTGCTATGATGGAATTTTGCTCTTTAAAGGAAATCTTAATTTAATACAGTATTTCAAATCCATGTAAACGTAAAATTTTTCCCAACATTTTAGTACCTATATATCTATATATATGGGTATATATACACACACTATATATACACACATCTATATTTTAGGACCACATATCCTTTCTTCGGTTAAGAAACATTTTCTCTGTTACATTTTCTTGAAGGAGTCTTGCACTGTAGAGTTTTCAAGGTTAGTTCCAAAACATTTTTTACAAAAAAATGGAGAACACATCAGTTTAAAAAAAAAAAACCAAACCAAAAACAAGTGGGGAGTACACAAAAGGAACATACAAAGACTAATTCCAGAAAAGAACTAAAGATATATTTGAATAGAGATTAGAAAAAGCTGTGATCTCCATCAGTGGTAGAGAAAGTCCTCCTTGTAGCCCTCAGAAGAAAGGGTGTGAGCAGAGCAACAGAGGTGAACTAAAAAAGGCACTAAAGAGATTCCAGGAGACTCTTGTCAGGAAAAGGTACACAAAATAGAAAAGGGGGAGCAGAAGACAACTGACAGAGTATCATATAATCTCATACATTCCCAAGAGCAGGTTTCCAAGGGGTCCTGAGTTACACACAGACCTCTAGACAAGGTGAGAACACCAACCAGCACAGTGTCAGCTGGACAGAAGAACTTTCAGTAGTTCAAACATTACAATCAAAAATATTTTAAGTTTTGGAGACAAATTACCAGGATTCTGGTAAATTACTACTCCCTTTTTCCCCTGTTAATTTACTTTTGGGTAGCAAATGGGTAACAGACAAATGTAAAGTGAAACAGAAACTCATCTCCTTGGGATAAAAATAAGGGACTGCATTAAAGCTTTCTATAAAGGCAACCAAAAAGGATGTGTTAAAATGTATAAATGGAATAGCTTCTAACTAACTCGAGAGGACACTCATATATTGTAACCAGACAGCTTAACAGGAACTGTGCGATTGAAGAATTCACACGTATATGAAAATCAGAAGATAATTCAAAGCATACAGTAGGAAGAGCCTGTTTTGTTTTGTATATGGAAATGTATTATTGCTTGATCTCAGCTTGGAGATTTGCTGTGCAACACAACCAGCAGGGGACAAGAGAGACTTAAAAGGAGCACGGGAGACAACCTCAAGATGTCACTATGTCTTTGCAAGTACGTAACTGAAAAGCTCTTTCAGAAAGACGTTCTGCATTTGTCAACAATGCCCAGTGGCATACAACACACAGAGCAAGCAGGCAACCCTTACCCAACCTTTTAAACTTTTATTTACTCTAGGTAACTCATCACTGGCTTCAAAAAGAAAAAAAAAAAAAAAAAAAAAAAAAAAAAAAAACAAACAAAACAAAACTGCAAATTGCAATCCACACTGTTCTTTTAAAAAAAATGGGTAGAACCCACTTCTGCCATATGTGCATGCATACCCATACAAGGAATCGCAATTAATTTCCAGAAGTTTCAATAAGAACACTGGCGTGGGAATTTCTGATCCTGCAGCCCGCCTCCCTTTAGAAACAGTTTATATAAAAAAAGAAATTGAAGGAAGGCAAGAAAGATGGAAAAGAGCTCCCCAGCACCCTCTCCTCTCCAAACCCTCAGAAATGCCCAGAAAAGTTGTGATGAAAACATGGGGGAAGGGGGACCTGGTAACTATTTTAAAACGTGATCTCTTTTTGCTATAGGCAACAGAAACAAGTGACAAAGAACTATTCCATGAATGTAATATAGAAAAGGGGAAAAATATCCTGCTGGGAGGCCAGCCGGTTTTTTCCTCGTTGTAAATTACTCCTCTGGTTCCTGCCTACTCAAATTCACCATGAAGTTTAGTAAGCTCAGCAGTACAACCAACAAAACCCACAAAATCCCAACCCCCCCCCAACCCCAGATATCACCTTTATTAGGCAAGGTACTTCATTTACAAAGTGGAATGGTACACTGAGGCTATTCAGATTCTCAAGTACCTACATGCCATGCACTCCGACAGAACTGCTAGGTCTGAGCGCATCTGCTTTCTTTATCAAATTGAGTAATAAACACACACCAAACACAACACCAAATACCACATGACATAGCCCCTTCCCAACTCGCTCACAAAACTAGGTAGTCTTTGGTCTGAATTCCATGGTCCCTCCCTCAGGCCCAGACTCAGGATATGAAATGCCTCAGAAACTATCATTGTACCAGTTTCCAAACTGCCAGGAACCAAAAGTTTCCAAAGACCCTCTGTGGCAGTGTACAGCTTAGAAAACCTGGCAGCGGGGCTGCAAGGATTTTAAGAATAACTTCAAGAAGAATTTCATCTCTCACAGCAGGATTGAAGACTGGAAAGCCACTAATGGGGCAAATGCTTACCAAGTATTTCCCCCCCCGCTGCTATAAGCAAGCCTTTAACACATGCCAAAAAAAAAAAAAAAGGTTCCCTGCACAGTCACTGTACAGCAACAACATATGACTAAGAGTAAACAAAGAGGAGTAACTCCTAACACAATCTGTTTATCCAGGCCAGATCATTGCATCACCTCAACATAACACATGGTTTTAAAAACTACAGCTTATATCAGCTGGAGCTGACAATAAATTATCATGTCAACTATGATGTGGAGGTATGGCTTTTACCGGGAAAATATTTTCAGGAAAAAAAAATTAACCACCATTGCCCATAAACAACACTAATGGACTCTTCCTCATTTCTTCTTGCACCTTCAGTCACCTATTCGTGTAACACATTATTAAGCAGCAGCAATTCTGAATTATTAAAGTGTCACAGAATAAGTATGAAATACTTCAGGAACTGGTGCATAGTTCTTTAAAAATGCAAGATTCAGTTTCTTTACAGTTAAGAACCTGTTCTGCTGTCTATTGTCTATTACAGTTCTGTGTACTACTCCATCTGTAAAGTATTTGTGATGTAGCAAGTGAATGCTCTGAATGTATATCCCCATCCACATCTCTTACAGTGTGCTGTACACTCATACGACTTTGTTATAAAAAGAAAGAAGGTTGGGAAATGGAATGGTTTACCTGCTATAGCACAGCGACTTCTTTTCGAGATGCTGCTATTGTATGAAATAACTTAAGATCTCGCCTAGCAAACATTAACTGTTAGAAAATATTTTACTTGCAAGATAACATAACTTCACTTACCTGAGATGTCATTTATTTCACAGCAGTAAGGCGATCTGTACAAAAAGACTCATGTACATTTTCAGGACATGTGAGCTTCATGTGTTGTGGGGAAGTATAGAAGTGTAACTGTAGTGGTTCCAGAATACAAAATAAATAATCTGCAAGAGATTTTTTTTCTGGGCATGTGTATATCAAATATACATACAACTATGTCCTTCTCCTACAGAAACAAGGAGAGAAAAGAGATTTCCTCACCTGCGTGGCCTAGTTCTAGGAGACATCATCTCATTTCCAAGGATATGGTATCGCCTGGCTTCATGCAGCAGCTGATAGCACTCAGGGGAGTTCTGAATCAGCTGGTCCACTTCCACAGTCTGAACAAAGTAGTTTGGGTGTAACAACGGGAGCCTGACGTGTGTCAGAAGTTCATGTAACACTGGTCTTCGCAACTCAACTGCCCGGTACACCCAGCGCATGACAGCTTCAAACACCATCTCTTCCTTACTGATCACCAGTTCGTCACTGCAAATGTAATCAATAAGCTCATCTTTCCCCAGTTCAAGGAATTCTTCATGCTGGGACACATCCTCAAACGTCTGCAGCGCAAAATTCCTGCACTTGGTGAACAGTGTCTTGAGTGAGTGCGTATCTGCAAAGCGCTGGATTCCCAGGCAATTGCAAGGATCCAGCTGTTCTTCCAGGAACTTGGCACAGGCGTCACGCAAAACACTAATCTGAAAGAGACTTGATGTTTCAAAGAGATACTGCACGTTCTCTGTAGTGATTTTCACCTTGCCAGTGTATACATACTGTAGAAAGCAATCCATAGCTTCAGCAAAAATGCCATTGATCTCCACTAACATCTCTCTGCTTTCTCTATGATCGTTGCAGAACATAGCTCTGAAGTAGCTGCTGCAGGCCGAGAGAACCGCTCGATGGCAGGGAAACTCCCTTCCTTCCACACAGATAATAACATCTGTGAACAACCGACTGTCTCGAAATTCATTGAAGATCTGGAGAATGCTTTCAGCATGGGATGATCCTGAGGAGAAGTCGAAAAACTCTGGGCCTGACAACGATTTTGGGTCCATTTCAAAAACTTTCCGCTTGGTTGCAGGGGAATCTCGTATCCCACTATCCTCTCTATTCAGTCTGCGTCCCAATATTAGTACCATTGTTACATCAGTTGGCTATAGAGTCATTGAGAAAAGTTTGCAGAGTTTCTCCTTCACAGTGCTACGGTCTGAAAAATTAAAACACTTCAGTATTCAGTCTGGTATATTCTTAATTTCATCATGTAAATTAGACAAGATACTTGTTTCGTTACTCTAAGAATTGGTACAATTTTTGACCTTTACTAGAGGTGACACAGTATTACAGGGCAAGTTACTGTGCACCTTGTGCAGCGCAATGCAGCATTATCTGTTACACGTTAAATACAAAATACACCCAAAGAACAGGTGTCATGGATGGCATGTTCTGAATGTCCCAGCACCACTAGCACTGCATTAGTGTTCAAGATAAAAAAAACCAGAGATCTTGGCTTCAGCAAATCACCTGACTGACAGAAGCCAAAGATGTCCTGGATAAAGATCCAGAACTTGGGCTTTTCTCATTTTTCAGTGTAATCCTCATTTCAGCTGCAGCCTCCAAGTACTACTACAACAGCACTAGTCAAAAAAAAAAAAAAGGGGGGGGGGG